AAAAAAAAAAAGAGCAAGAAAGGGCCTAAAGTGGAACCCTGTGGAGTGACATTTAAGGGAACACCTGAAGAAGAGGTCATAAAGAAGTTCAGAGGAGATAACTAGAAACATAGATGTTAGCCATAGCAATTGAGCTGCCGTTAATCATCATTTATCAAGGGTCATATAGCTTGAGTGTATGGCAAGTTCGGAGATGATAGACTTGACCTTTGATATCAAATTTAGACTAGTGGCTTTCACATGATCACAGCCTCCTGGACCACAAGGCTCCCTTCTTGCAGGCCAATAACAGTCTTATTTTCTCAATGATAAATTATGCTTCCTTGGTTTATACGAGGTATGGGAGTCTATCCAAGTTCACCCTCACATATCATCCAGGCCCAGAAAAGCTGAGTCCAGCAGCCCAAGAGCCTTCTATCCATGGGGGATGGATGGCCTGAACAGGACACTCCAGGGCTGCCTGTAGGATGGAAAGGAGGGAATATGACATACGCCTGGGGTTCGGCAAGTTGTACCCACACACCAGGCACAGAAACACACAAGGAAGGCACCCCCGCTCTGTGGGCGAGACAAAGAAGCAGTCCTTTTCCCACGTGCCAGCCCATCTGCTTCTTTGCCTTCACAAACATGTCCTTTTTTCTTTCTTTTTTTGGTTCTCTACAGCTTTGAGTGCATGAGGAAGACAAGTGGGAGACAAGAGGAAAAATAAGGTTGGAAGAGGGTAGAAGGAAAGGAAGGGCATAAAGGCAGGCTTCACCTACAACCAATACAATAAATGCTATCCTAGATCAACTCAGCCTGGCCCCTGGTTTTTTGTTTGTTTGTTTTTGGTTTTTTGCAATGTATGTATAACAGTTTTCTTTGGGCAGAGTCCTGAAGATGATGGCCGCGGCGTGACTGGATTCAGGTGACAGGGCCCCTATCATTGCATCACTGGCCTTGTGGGCCCATGTCCTCCTATCCCCTCACTGAGGCAGGCATAGGCATAGGACACCTGGGCACAGGCTTTCTCTACTCTGGTATCTATTACTCCCAGAGCATCAAGCTCTCCGTTGTTCAGAGTCTAAGAAACAAGTATCTCCCCAGCCTGTGTGACAGCAGGTAGGAGGTGGTGGGAAGAGCTTGGGCAGCTTTTCCTGTGTAACCTGTGGGAGACACCTGTGGAGTTGAAGGTACCAGGGGAGCTGGGAAGACAAGTGTTCTCCCTGCCTTCTACAATCTCATGACTGGAGCCTGGGTAGAGAGAAAATAACCTGACTACAAGTCACAGATAGAGAGGGGTCAAGTGGCTGTCCTGGAGTTGATTCATGCTGCTCTAAGGCAAAAAGTCTTAAAGGGAAAAGGCTTGAGGGTTTATTCCTGTTGCCCTGACCTGATAGTTTTTCATCTTTCTGTGCTCATAGAACCCACCTTGACTTTCACACCCACCCTGCACCATATCTGAATATTCAGCTTTGGTCTCAGGACCCTTCTTGTAGAGGACAGAGAGGGATTCTCTTCCTTTCAGCATTGGAAAGCAGATGTTTTCAGTGATACCCCCATTGGGTCCTGGCACGGGTGATTTTTTTTTTTTATCCTCTATTTCATGCCCAGACCATAACCCGTCCTGTGGATTGAACCATGAGGTTGTGCTGGCTCTCACCCCATGTGCACTTTCCCAGGACCTGGTCAGCTATTGTTTGCTTTCTCTTTCCCCACCCCCACCCATAGTCCTGTCCCACTAGTGGGCCTCTTGTGGGGTTTCAGGCCTGAGAGGCTCTTGGTGGTTCTAGAATTGCAATCCTCCTGCAAGGGCCCAGAGGGCAAAGCTGTGACCAATTATAGGCATTGGCTTGATCTCTCTCACTTGATCACCTCATCTACCCCATGTCACCCCAGCTGGCCACCCAAAAAGCTGAAATGTACTGTCCCACCCTTCAAAGTTAAAGAGGGAGCACAGAGCTGTGCCAGGGTGAGTGCTATCTGCCTGCCCCCACACATCTGCCTGCCACCACCCGTGAGCCACCTGCATCCACACAGGTGTTTCCTGTGCTCCTTCCTGTTGCCTGTTTTTTTTCAAAGTGGCTTCCCCAGCAGGTGGTTAAGGCCCCAGCCAAACCTCTTCATACACAGTTCTAAAGCATTGGGGGTAGGGCTCCCCAGGGATCTGGGTCATATCCCCCACCCCCACCTTGTGACTGTTGGCACCTTGTTGGGTCTTCCGGAGTGTGGGCACACATCCATTCCCCATGACACCTCTGTACACATGCTGTATGCTATTGTTACCATACAGACACAGGGACTCGAGTGGGCTCAGGAATGGGGGGTGCTGCCCATTCACTGCCTACCTTGTCCCTTGTTGATTGATAATGGAAGTTCTGAAGGAAGAAGTATGAGGATCTGTTTCTCTAGCTATGGGCATGAGCTTCCCTCAGGTTCTCCTTAGAACAAGTCCCCTCTGATCCTCAAGTTCCTCCCTCAGGACTCTTGTTTTGTTTTGGTACTGGGGATCAAACTCAGGACCTTACACTTGCGAGAGAGGCACAGTGCCATTGAGGTAAATCCCTGGTCCCCCCTCAAGGCTCTTAACCTCCTGGGTTAACATATTACTGTGCCAGGCAACTCTGGGGGAGGAGGGTCCTCTCCTGGGATCCCTGATTCCCAAAGCAGCAGTCTGATGGCTGTAGAGCCACAGGATTCAGTGGGTTTGTTATTACAGATGTGGCCAACTCAGGGTGGGAAAGGACTTGAGTCACAGGCCAGCTGTCTGGGACTCTGACCAACCATGCCCCAGCTCCGCTTGCTAGTAAAGGATCTCCTTTCCCTCCTCAGCATCCTGGAATTTCTCTGTCTGTAAGAAGCTGCTTGGGCAGAAAGGAACATCCAGGAGCCTGGCATCTGCTGGTGAGGTGCTGCTGCCCCCTTGTGGCCAAAAGCTCAGTCACACCATGCCATGTTTTCCTACCCACTTTGCCCTTGGCCACAGTGGTTCTCATGTCTAGCACATGTTGGGCCTTCTCTGAGCTAGCTTCAGAGACAGACCCATTAGGGGACCAGAGCTCCCAGGCCTAGCTTCAGGCTGAGCCTCCTCAGCAATACCTCCCACTCTCTTCTCCCGCTTTCCTTTCCAAGTCCAGTTCTAGCCTCTGGGCTTTCTTCCACCAGGATTTCCAGGGCAGATGCACAGGCACTTGTCATTGAAGCATGGACACACCAGTGTCAGGAAAGGAACATAAGACAGTTTTAGAGCAGAGGGTCAGAAGTGTAGCAGGCCAGGTAGGAAAGGCATTTTGGTTTTATTTTCTGTAAAACTCTGTAAATAAAATACAAAACCAGGGGATGTGGCGAGGCAGAGGCAAGGTGGCCAGGCCCCGGACACTGTCTGTGTGAAGGGATGTGCTGAGCCGAACCTGGGAGGCACTTGACTGCAGGCACTGACTACCAAGCCCAGGGGCAACAGAATATATTAGATTTTCATTGATAGAAATCTGTGGGGAGGGGTATTTGGAGCCAGCCCCTACCCTCCCTGCCAGTGCCTGGTGAGCCCTGAAAGAGGGGGGAAGAGCCCTGGGAGCCAGCAGATGAACAGTTTAGAATGCTGTGCTGGCCATGCTGCCAGGCCCAAAGATGCGGGGTAGGGCATCCAGTGACTCCTCCAGCCGTCGATGGGCAGACTGTCCTTCTTCTCCTGTAATGGGTAAAAATGGGATCAGGAGTGGCCATTGTCTCATCCTGGCCCTTCTATCCCTGACCCTGTCTCACCTGTCCCCATCAGCCAAGAATCTACTTGACCTGAATCTCCCACACCCCAGCTTTACCACACTGCTGCAGGCTCTGCCGAGCAGCTTCCCTCACAGCTTCTGTGTCTGTTTGGCACAAGTACACCAGGGGCTCAATGCCTTCAGGGGCCTATCAGGGAAGAGAACACTGAAGTGGGCTCAATGGAGCAGTGGTAAGTATAGAGGGTACGGGTGCTGGGAACACAAGTGAAAGGGCTAGGAGGTTGGCAGGAGTCACCTTGATGCAGCCCAGGGCCAGGCAGCCAGCCACTCGAGTATGTACATCCTCATCCTCGAGCTGGTCCAGGAAGCACAGGAGGGCCTGGGCAAGGGTGGAAGGGCAGACTTAGCCAGACACTGGGAGCCTGGACCCCAAACCTCCTCAAGGAACCTGTGCTCACTCTCACCCTCTCCCGGAAGGTAGGGCCCAGTGACAGGCTCCGGAGCTGGGTGCTGACAGCAGCCATGACCTTGTTGTTGCCATGGACAAGTAGGGAGCTCAGGGCCCGAAGTCCATCCCTTCTCAGCCGTCCCTCAGGTGCCAACCTCAGGGCCTTCAGCACAACAGCCTGGTCATCAGAGTTCAGATTCCGTACCAGTAACACTGAAAGAAAGAACAAGGTTTTGGAAAAAAGGCAGTAAGGCAAGGAGCATCCTTATCCGCACCCTCAGACCCACCCACAAGATTAGGCCATTTTGTGGTCAGGGCCACTGCCTCACCCTCCTCAGCAGTCTCAGTCACATAGGTCTCCATGGAGGTGCTGTCCAAGGCTTCCACGTAACTCCAAAACTGAAAGACGGTGAGCTGCTCCCCAGGACCTGGCTGGGGCCTCCTGGGCAGCTTCTGCCCTAGGGCATCCTCCAAGAATTTCACACAAACTGCAGGAAGCAGTGTCACATAAGTTGTACCCAGATATTTGGGAGAAAGAGAATGCACCTAATCCCATACTCATGTCCAGGGACTCCTTTTTCATACTCTGCCTACTTGGGCCCAACTCTATTCTTTCTTACTATTGCTTACAGGTAGTATGTCTGTGAGGGCTGATCTGGCCTTTCCTGAGGTCCCTATCATTAGGGAGCCAAGAAGAGACAGAAGAGGCAGGTAGGCAGCTCACTTACCAGCCTCAGCTAAGTCTGGCTGGCGCATGGAGAGACGGGCATCATACTGGCTGCAGAAAGTGAGGAGCACCTGCTCCACAGGACAGATGAATGGGCTGAGTCCCTCTGTGCATTTGTCCCAGAAGATCAGGAAGCCAGGCCGAGAGGCTGAGAACTGCACCACTGTGAAGGGATGCAGGAAACCATCAGAAATAGAGCAGGTGGGTAGGGGGGAAACTTGTACATAAATGGGGTAGGGCAAGGTACCAGCTTTGGGGCAGACACCAGAGCCAGAGCCCAAGGGGCCCATTACCTTCCTGGGCAGAAGTGGGAGGGATCTCCCATACCCTGCTGAGCTCACACACTGCTTCAAACACTCGGGCTTCCCGCAGTAGCCGTTCCAGGGCCCATGCCTCCTGACAGCGCAAGGGCCCAAATGTGCCCAGTTTCTGGAAAAGAAGGATGGCTAAGTAGCACAGATGTCAGGAAGGGACTAGGGAGGGTGGAGTTCTCAGACTACAAGTCCCAGCATGCAGTGGGAGAGTCCTGTGGGTTATTCCATTCAGCAAGAGCCAAATGCCAGGGCCCTGGGGCACTGGGGCTGTGGAACTCAAGAGGAGGTACAGAGGACCATGACTGGAGTGCACAGTTCTCTGGGACAAGGAGAAGGGCAGGAGAGAGGAGGGGAGGGTCATTAGCCTCACCAGCAGGAGACGACTGCAGTGGTACAGGTGCTGGACCAAGGCAGCATCCAGAGCTAGACACCCCGTGCTGAGGGGGTGGGCATTGAGCAAGTCTATGCTGTCCTCAGCCCCATCCTCCAAGCTGCTTGGGGGCCTGGGAGAAAATGGGGTCAACCACCCCAAGAGCACACATCACCATCTGGTCCACAGCATTTATTTTTATTAAGTTCTGCCCATCCCAGATAGAAGAACAGACAATGCACAGACAACAAACAATAGGTAAGTTCACAGACTTTCAAGAGGGGGAAGGGGATGTAATCAGCAGGGCATAGCAGGGGTCTTTGGTCAGCCTGCCCAATGCCACTTCCAGTTAGGACCGCAGGGGCTCCCGGGACTTGGATGGGCGGGAGTAGAGTCGCAAGCGGGATGGTCTACGAGGGGTGGACTGCAAGGGGTGCAAGGCATGGGGCCTTGACCTGGGAAGCAGCAGAGGGAGAAGGGACCGGGAACACCTTTCAAGTGGGAATCGGTAAAGTCCACCCCAGGACTGACAACTGAGGGACTGGTGTCTCCGGAGGAGTCGGGGTCGAAGCAGAGGGGACCGATGGGGAATGCAGGGTGCACGGGGAAGCACTGAGAGAACTCCTTCACAGGGTAGGTCCAAGGTGAGGCCATGTGAAAGAGGGGTAGGTGGCTCACTAGTTGCTGGGGATCGGTGGGGGAGGTAGACACTGCAGAGATGAGGAGTAGGGCAGCCAGAAACTCTGGGGACAGATGGAGTTGGAGATGTGGGCATCCAGGACACATGAGGTACACATGGGAAGAGTGAGCACAATCTATCCTCACGTGCTCCACCTGACCCCACCTCACCCATTCCTGTCTTGCCTTTTTCCCAACTCATCTGTTCCTCCTCTACCTTCATCGCCTTCTCCTTCATTTCTTTCCCCTTGCCTAGTCCATCTTGCCTAGCTTTCTCACCTTTCTCCAGGACCATCATGGTCTACATCTTCGTCTTCATTGAGGAAGCTGAAGCTCTCCAGGGCATGCTCCACAGTAATGCTGAGACTGGAGGCCCGGCTGCGAGTCAGGCCTTGTCTCTGCTGAGGTTAAGGAGAAGGTCAGAGCTACTCCCATCACCTGGCCCCTTCCCTGTGCTTTCCCAGTCCAGCCCAGCCTTTCTCACCATAAGCAGGCTCTCCAGCCGAGTCACCTCCTGCTCCAGGCCTTGCAGCTCAGGGAACTGGCCCCGGTAGTCATCCAGGGCAGCCATTAAGGCCCCCAGGGCATCCTCCAGCCTCTTGTCCCCAGCCCCTCCAGCTGCCCCTGTGACTGGAACTTGAGCAGCCAGGCTAGGTTTTGAATGCTGGGGTTCAGGGACTAAGGGTGAGGGAGGAGGGCTTAGGCTCTGAATAGGCTCTTGGGGATCTGGGACAGGACATGGGTACAATGTGCTGGGGGTTATGGGGTCTGCCTGAGAATAGGGAGTGGAGGCTGCATGGCTACAGGGTAAGGGGTCTGTGCCTAGGAGGATGGGGCCTGTAGAGGGGTTAGGGTGTATAGCATGGTCTTGAGAAGAGAAAAGGCTTACATTTGTAAGGGTGGAGCTTGTAGTGGTCTGGACTGGGCCCATAGCATTGAGGGTAGGCCTTGTAGTGGTGTGAGTTGATATCTTGGCTTTGTAGGTGAGGCTTGTGGTTGCAGGAGTGGGACTTGAAGTAGTATGGGTGGAACTTGTGTTTTGTGTAGGGCTTGGAGTAGTGTGGATGGGACTTGGGACGGTGTGGGTAGGGCTTGGGTTAGGGAGGGTGGGCATGGGGCTCGGGGGAGTAGGGTGGGTGGGGCTTGCAATAGTGTGGTTGGCACTTGGGGGGATGAGTGG